AAAAGCGGAAACAGAAATCGACATGACCTTGACATTGACACAGTTTTGTCAACCATGACCTAATTTTATTTGATAGGTCTAACGAACACCAGGATATGGCGACAGCGAAAATGCCAAAATCCTTACATAATTGAGTATGCTTTGAACAACGTCCGAATGCTGAAATCCATGCATAGTAGATTCCCTTTCGAGCAAGGTCTGAACAAGGCATCGGAATTAAGGTATTTATGAGTAGAACGACTAATTCACGGCAGAGGAATTCGCCAAATACGAAGAAAGAATAAGAGTAGAAATTGTCTGACGGTCAGTACAGTACGGTCACAAGATCACGGTCACGACATAACCAAGCAGTGAAGAAGTAAACATTGGATATTGTATAACTCGCTGGGATCTTTATGAAAACCAATGAAATGATATTTCAACCAATTTTCCACAACCATATCTAACTATACAATATTTACATATAAACACGGGAGGAGTGTATCGTACGTATCTTTGTTATTCCTTGTCTGATTTTTAGTGTTTGTGAATTCTTATGATTGTTGTTTTCTTTATTTTCAGGGAAACTGTTGGAAATACAGAAATTTGATAATCATCGTTGGATAGAAGACTACCTCAAGCAGATTCATAATATTGTATGGTCCACGTATCATGCAAAAAGATTCAGTTAGGATTTTCATTTGATAAAATATTTGTGTTGCTTTTCAATGATGACATTCAGATTGATTTTATATTCAATTTGTTCCAGGATACCCACAACTCATGAGACACAAGTAGAGGCAGCGTCGTATACAGTGTGTTCAACTAGATACACTTCTTTGAACTATGTTACAAAATATACAATAAAAGTTTCTGACTTCTATATATAGTGTTTCCTTTGAGAGTTTTATTTGGAATTATAGTAGAAGATCACGTTAAAAAGTAACGTTTTGATGTAGGCTAGTTATATTAGAAAATAAAAACGTTACAAAGTCACAGGAACATCGTATTATGTTGCAGGGCATCATAACCTAGACTCAGCAATATCTTTTGATGAATTGGGAATTTGTTTACTCAGGTGTAAAAATGGTGAAGCCCCTGGCGAGGATGGAATAACGTATGAATTCATCAAAAATCTTCCACAGAACTGGAAGTTATACTCATGTTCCTTATATAACAATGTCCTAAACACCGAACAAATCCCAAAAAGTTGGCCGTCCACACTCTATTGTCCATGCTTTATAAAAAAGGATCTGAAAATAATCCTACCAACTATCGTGATATATCACTGCTTAACTGTTTAGCTAAAATCTTCACATGCATTTTATTGAATAGGCTATCAAGTTGGTGCGAGGAGAACAGCATACTACCATAGTATCAGGCAGGGTTCATAAATGATAGAGGGTGTCTCGATAATATATTTGTATTGAACTCTGTTATACAAATCCATCTGAGACTTCGTGGCCGTAAAATATATACTGCATTCGTCGATTTCAAGAGGGCGTTTGATTCTGTTAACCATTCCATTCTGTGGAATAAATTATATCATCTAGGACTCAGTGCCAAATACATTCGTATCATCGAAAGCTTACCCAGGTAACAAGCTGACGTCATTTGTACGTAATTATCACGTCAGGCCTGACGTCAGGATGACTCCCAAAATGACGTCATAATGACGTTTATATGACCTTCCAAGTAAAAGTTTCATAAAATGTTCTTTTTATTGGGAACTTATCCTATTCGGATGATGCACTCGAGAGATTTCTCAGAGCCCTATGGTATTCCTTCAATGGCGTCCAATTCACATTCTGCTTTTTTGGCATACACCACTTGTTCAAAATCATGACCATGCTGTCATCCTCAAATTCAACTACTTGATACATGAATATGAATAAGTATGACCACCACACCACACCACATAGATAGCCGAATAACATGATAATGATGGCCTTCTATGTATTGTTATTTTGTTGTTATGGTCATCATGGATGGCTGCAACGGCGAAGCGAAAGTGAACGGCTTGGCGCTGGCGGTCGACGTTCGCATGTCTGCGCAAGGTCCGTGCCGACTCAAGTACAGTTCTCTACGCACTCTCCAGCTCTGATTTGAATTCGCATTCCGGAATAATTACAACGTTATAAGCTTTTTATGACGTGAAATTCGGTCTTATATATTTAATAGCTATAGGGAGAATACTTTGCACAGAAAGTATATAATTAACAATTATCTCAGAGACCATCGGAAACACACATCTCGCACAGATTAGAGAAAAAATTATAATAAAGCATAATATATGCTGAGTGACATAATGATGTTACGTTATTCTGGTGCAGAAGCGAACACGACACTATTTATTCTCGAACTGATTTATTTGAACTATAGAAACACTAATTTATAACGAACTTAGAACTACTATTTATGTAAAATGATCTATATCACGCGGTATATAACTGTCTCTCTGACACTCGCTGCTCGACTAACTGACTGCAGTTGTTCGGTCGTTTATATATGAGATCACTTGGCAGGCTTTGGTTCGAGAACGTTCTCGAATGATCTTCCGTCTCCTTCTTTTTGTTCTAGAAGCTTCTTAGAACAAAACCTCTTTCTCTAATTGTTCCATCGATTGTTTCCAGAACATTCCAGAATCTTCTGTGACGTTATTTGTCACTGCGGCATATATTGAGTGTTCCGAAATATGCTGGTGCATGTAGGAATCATTGGGAGGTTGGAGAACGATCTGGGATGCGTGTTACAGGATGATTGTTGTACTCCTGCCTTCCTGCTGATGATTCTAGTGCCCCGTTAAGGGAAATATCATTACACTAATATATGTTATATAACATAAATACTAACGTTTTCATATAACAGAGATGGAAAACTTGTTGATTATGAATTTTCCTTGATTTAGATGACTCAATAAATGATGGTCATAATTAGTCATGAAAATGACCATCATATGACGTCAAATTGACGACACATCAAGGACGTCTACATAACGTCATATTAAGTACGTCAAAATGACGTCGTTTTGAGGTCATATGACGTCAATGACCATAAATGACCATATATTGACGTACAAATGACGTCAGCTCGTTACCTGGGTATATGACCAGGCTACCATGTCTGTTAGGAATAATAATGAATATTCTGAAACTTATGATATTACTCGAGGTGTTCTACAGGGTGAATCATTAAGCCTAACTTCATTTTCCTCGTATATTGCCGATATAGAGGAATATTTTCATGATAAGGGCCTGAAGAGGGTGAATATTGATGGTGAGAAAGAAGTATTGATGTTGATGTATGCTGACGATATTATTGTTATTTTGAGTGTCTCACAAATTGATCTGACCAAAAAACTTGAAGCCCTAGAAAGTAGATAGTTTTCGCCGGTTCTGCGTCTCCCCCCAAGGCCAGAGGAGTGTGACCTTGGGGAAGTGACCTTGAGGGGAGTGACCTTGGGGGGAGTGACCTTGGTGGTGACCTTGGGAGGAGTAACCTTGAGAAGGAGGGGACTTGGGGAGTGGAGTGACCTTGGGGGAGTGACCTTGAGAGAAAGTGTCCTTGGGGGAGTGACCTTGAGAGGGAGTGTCCTAAGGGAGTGACCTTGTGGGAGTGGCCTTTGGAGAGTAGCGTCCTTGACGAGAGAGTAACCTTGAGGGAAAGGCATTCGTACACACATCGTAACGTTACGATTTTGTATTAGTGGGGGGTGTGGAACGTCACATACCTATTTTCTATAAGTACGGTCTCGCTCACCTACACAAACATAGTTCTCGCAATAATATTGAACATAGTACCTACTCAGATGAGTGTGAGTGTGCTGGAAGGTGGTCTGTAAGTACGTTTATTTATATACTTTTCATACCCCTTTTACCTCGAAAAAAATAATGTCAGCAATAAAAATTGATTTGGTTGCAATCAATAAAAGAATCAATAAAGAAAGCGAATCAATCAGACAGATTTTAATTTCATCACTACCTCTGAATAAGAGTTACACAATCAAAAAAGTTTCTTTATGTGGAACTAGATTCGGTAGAAGTGGTACCGTGATTCTGTATGATGATGAGACCGAAGTGAATTTGAAATGTTGGTTACCGAAGAGAGTTGTAGATCATTTGGTGGAGAGCGATATTGACGAGATGAATTCTTCTAATGGTTCTTATACTTTAACATACTTGGGGCAAAGTGAGCCTATTTTTGCTGGTGCCAAGACCAGGGCTCTCATTAAATTTGATTGCGAAAAAGTATGAATAATTTTTAATTAGGATAAAATAGATATATTGAGTAGAGTTAGTTAGCATAATGAAAAGGGGTTTGGATATTATATAGTAAACCTTACACACCATATAATTACACTTATCACGTATTGAAAATATAGTGGTAAGTGATATATCAGAGGAATATCATGGATTGGTGGCTAACATTTACATTGATCTTGATCATAACATTTTTATTCATCTTGCAGGATACATCACTTCAACCGTGAATATGCGAATGCATTATACTAGTCAATCATGGCCGATAGCGAAAGATATCAACTCAGCTTTGAGGAGGTTGAAATGCCAATTTTCCGAGTTGGAGCAGGAAACACTATATGCAATGAATTATGACACAAGCGTATGTTTCGATAATGAACAAGTTCAACGACTCTACAATCAGGCTAATCAGTACAAATTGGGCTTCCTACTCTGTGCCCGATTCAAATATGGAAACATCAATGTTGAGGAATTCGTGGAAGCAATGGTTGAAGAGGACTTGGTGCAATTCCTTTATGAAATTTCTGATTTTCTACCAAACCACCTCGTTCGAAAATATAGTATTGGTATAACCCCGGAGGTATCTGATGCTGAAGAAGAAGAAGAAGAAGAAGAAAACCTTTAGATATTCGTGGAAAATGCATATTATCAATAATTCATTGAAGTGGAAAATAAAACAATATATTTAGCACATTCGAATTTTATTCAGTTTTTTTCAATATATTGCTAATTAAATACTAACATAATATGAGTAATGATGATTTATATAGCACCCATCTGTATGGAACCATCCAATGCATTATAAGTCGAATATGCATCATGAAGAATTAATGCGTAAACTTTGGTGTGTGATGGAAACTTTGTTTTACGTGTTTCAAACTCCAACTTGATGTCGACAGTTGAGGATTTCATTGCATCGGGTTGATGATTGCAATCGATGATGAATAGGGGGTTTGCACGAAATTCTTCAATGCTCATCATTGGTTCACCCATATCTTTGCCGTAGTAACTACATTGGAAATTTTCGTATGCATAATAGGCTATCGCATCTAATTTCTCATCGAAATCCAAATTCCAGCGTTTATATAGATAAACTTCCGCATTCAGATACAGAAGAATATTGTTGACTCCTGCATGGGTGAATTGTGTGACATCCTCAGATCTATCATCTGTGTTCACAGAGTTCTGGAAGCCTATGATGATGAATCGTGGTCGCTCGAGACTATTGGTAGTTTTAACAGCCCAAATATCGGAAGCTGTTTCACGGATGGTTGGTAGCTCATATAGATCCCACATTCGGTATGCAATTTTCACTTTTGCAGTTGTACTCCTATCCAGACGATTCAACAGCTTCAGTCTCTGCTTATCCGATGGCATCACATGTCTAATCTTCCATTCGATTTTGTTTATCTCCAATGTGGCATCAACTTCTCCCATGTAGGAATTCTTGAATGAGCGAGTTACAATGAGGATCAACTCCTGCTTGATATTCAAAATAGCTCTTTTATAATCTTCAGCAAATCCCATCAGATATTTGAGAGGTAGCTTACCGCTGAAAATGCGGCTAGTTTCATCTAAAATACACTGTTTTTCATTTTCCAGACCCCATCCGACTGTTTCTAAGAATTTTGCATTCGCCTCACTATAGGAAATCATACTTTTCATGGTTGTAGTGATGCCGGGTTTTCGAACCATACATACTTGTTCACCACCCATCTCATAACGTATTTCATCGAAAAGGAATGCTAAAGCATTTTTTGATAAATAACATGTTTTTGTAGGATCATTTGGTGTGAATTTTCCCTCAATATAGATATAACTTTCTGAAATATCGAGTAATAGATCTTGAAAGTTGACTGCGATCCTTATTTCATCCGAGTTCTTGAATGATGGTGAACCATATGGTTTGTACGTGTGTTCATGTAGACTGATCAGGGAATGACCCAAAATCGGTTCATCAAACACTTCCAATTGTAGGCTGCTAGTAGATGATGTTGTAACAACCATTATATCTGGCTAATTATTGCTATTTATCGCGCAACTTCAGACCAATGGACTCCAAAAAGTGTATATCGTTTGCAGACAACCTATGTCTAACTCGTGTGGGTAGTTCTGTTCGAATGAATACATCTCCATTCTTCCTTCCCTTCTTATCGATATTTCTACGGTAGGTGGCGGCAGTTTTATTTGTGAACACATGTTTTGATTGGTTCCCAAAACAAAACCCCATTTTCTGCCTGGAATGCTGGATTGTTACGTAAGCTGCTTCAATTCCAATTTTATAATGATTTTTTCTCCTCGAAAATCGACTAAAAGTCCGCTATCATCCAATATCCTCAGTGTAATGTTGTCGATGAACTGGCGCCCAGTCGGACTGATGGGTAAATATATAATATTTTGTGGTTCCTTTAATAACTTATATCCAGGCTCCACATCGATGTCGAATTCATATAGTGTATGTACCTCCTCCCCATTGAGGAATGCTCCTGTGGTGATGTTACAATCAACCCTTATGAGGCGCACCTTTATTATATTCACAGGTAGTGTGGATTCATGCAACTCGTTGGCTGGATATTTCTTCTTTTCGAACCCCAAAACACCTGCTATAGATGCGTCGGATGCCAAATCTATCTCATACATGCAACTCATTTCACATTTCATAGTATTATTATTGGCACGAAGAAAGAATACAGCATCCATATTTTCCCCATTCAACGATATCCTACTTGCTACAGCCATTTGTAAAGCTTTATTGATCTCATCTATTTCATAAGCACCCGGTGGTATCGTAATCATTTCACGGGTGAAAGTAGGTCCCATCTTGATATCCAATCGATTATTCTGCTCATCTATATTGAGTATGGAGTTGTATGAGTAAAAACCATGCAACCCTAATCCATAGGTTTTCCTTGCATCGAGTTCAATGGGTGGATAAAAGTTAGCGCTCAATACACTACTATCCCCAGATATGGTGAAGGTTTGCGACATGGTTGATCGCAAAGAAAAAAAGACTACGAAAACTGTGGCAAACTTCAATTTATGCAGCTGCAACAATGACAACCTTATTGTGGCTTGCAACGATGAAGAATGTCGTAGTTTCCGCAAAGTTGATTATTAATATCAAATTTATTTACAGCTACAACATTTAAATCTTTAATTTGGCAAAAACAGCAGAATAATCTTCTCGGCACTGGACCATCATTAGCATCAACGCTGTGTTGGCTGTCCTTCTCCGTGTAGTGTTCCTTACAAAACTGATATTTCATGTGATGCGCAGCTGATGATGACTTTCTTCGGCATGTCGGCAAGTTGCGCTCTACTCATTTTCAGCAAAGAGCGCACTCTTGAGTAAGCCAGTAATGAGTGACCCATTCGTTTGATGCTCTCTCTATCCATATTATAGTATCTTTGTCTAACTATTTGTGGAGAGAAACTTCAGACACAGATGACCACACCACACTGTATTATAATCTTGATGTCGCTCGTAGTTATATACGATTTTCATAGCATTTGACGGTTTCGATCTCCTCTTCAGATACTCTATCAACTCCCTTGGGGGTGGTATATCTCCATAGCTATCATAATATTTTACTACACTATTACGTTTCTTATATGCAACCCAATGTGTGCCACTACCTTTGCTGCTATCAAAAATCAGAATAGCTGATTCTATACGTCTTGGCTCGGAATTGGGTAGGTTATCTCTCATGAATATACCTCGGAAGTGTGGTACTTTCATTTTATCTATTTGATTTAATAGATCAATGTCTGTTAAAGCCCTCCGAGGTAAATCATCTAGTTTTCGAGTTATGGGGTTTTAGATAGATACCTAATCCCTTTCGATACGGCTTCAAATAGACTCCTTTCCCAACTTTTCCGATTGCGATCGCCTCCATATGCTTATTGTGACGATTTGCTTCAGAGAGTTGCTCCCTACTCTCTTTAGCTGATTGAATGGCGCGTGCTATACCGGCACTCCCCGCAGCCAAACTACCTAATGCCGATAAACCTGTGAAAATGGGTATAAGTGGGAGAATTCCGCCAACCTTGGAATTGGTATTATTCTAAGCGTTCGGATATTATTTTTACCACCCGCAATTTTCACAAACTTTCGAGCAGCCCCAATCGCCATCGATGAAGTTTTGGCTAAGTTTTTGATGATAGCGCCTTTTTTACCCATTTGGTTTATCACATTGCGAACTTTGTGAACTATACCAGAACCAAATGCGATTTTTCTACTACGCTTTGATTTTCTCTTCCTCCTCAACACTCTGCGCGTCTTCACCCCTCCATCATTACAGCCCATCCCAAAACGCCTCTTCTCCTTCATAATATTGGTAACTAACCAAGATGCAGTCCTCTCCCCCACGTTAGCGTCCTTTGATTTAACCCGCTCCCAGGCAGCTTCTTCCAATTTTTTATCGGCTGAATGCCTGGCAGATAAATCGCTTGGATGTTTAAGGTATGCGACATCGTGTTCTTTGCAGGCTCTGTCCAGCTGATTTATTCCTTGATCACCGCGAGCCAACCGTTTCTGTAGCCGTGTTCCCGGGCCGCAATATTGATAGCCTCCAGGAATGTGTAATTCAAACGGTAATTTATTGATTATGGTATTAACAATCCCTTCACCACCTTTCTTTCCTCGTCGCCTGCTTCCTTACCCTTTATTATTATTATTCTTTATCGATGTGCAGCGTTTCACTGTCATAATATAAATGAGTCGAACACAGGATGCGATTCTTTATATATCATCTAACCACCATACAATGCGGATTGTTCAGCAGACAGAAACATTCAATGTGGATAATTTCGATGAGAAAGTGGGGTTAGGAAATAACATTATACAACGCCGTCATGGGGTATTATTCCCGAATACAATACGAGGGCTCATAATTGGTCCATCGAATTGTGGTGAAACGAATGTCATGATATCCTTACTCATCAATGAAAATGGTTTACGATTCGCCAATATCTACATCTACTCAAAATCATTATACCAACCCAAGTATGAATACTTACGAAAAGTGTTGGAGCCAATAAAGGGGCTAGGATTCCACACCTTTGACAATAATGTGGATATAGTGGAACCGGCAGATGCTAAACCTGATAGCATTTTCATTTTCGACGATGTTATCTGCGAAAAACAAGATGTTATAAGATCTCATTTCTCCATGGGGCGCCATAAGAGCGTGGATTGTTTCTATCTGGCGCAGACATATTCTAGAGTGCCTAAACAGCTTATTCGCGACAACTTCAACTTCATTGTGATGTTCAAACAGGATGACATGAATCTACACCACATATTTTCCGATCACGTATCCCCAGATGTGACATTCAAACAATTCCAAGATATGTGTGCGCAAAGTTGGACTGATAAATATGGATTTCTCGTTATCGATAAGGATAGTGAAATTCATGAGCGCCGATATAGGAAAGAGTTCAATAACTTTATATATCCATAATAATTCAGCGGCATTTGATTCATTCAATCTCCAGAAGCGACAATGAGCACATCTAATGATAAAAATGTAGAAATAACATCTGAAATTCATCTCAAACGAGAACTGGTTGGAGCAACCGATGCAGTGAGAAAAAAGTTCAAAAGTCTCAAGAGTGACCGTATGGGTAATCAAATAGTGCTCGAAAAGATGTATGAACCATTGATGGAACCGTTGAACGCCATCTCAAAAGCGGCAGCAACAACCTCTGTGAGTAACCATATTCCAGCAACGACAATGAAAAGTATCAGCAAAAAACGTACACCAATAATGATGATGAAACCTACACTCCATTCAACACCAATGTCGGGAAATAATAATAATAATGAATCGAATGCTATGGAAACACCTGAAAGCACAATAAAACCACATAGTTTTTTCACTGAAATTCCATCATATGAAGAAGGAGGAGGGGCAGGAGAATCCAATTATGTGACTATGGTGGATACCCCACCACCATCATCATCTTCACACATATCATTCGATGAAACACCTACTGACAGAAAAATCATGAGTGGATTAGATGAACAACTGAAAGAGCATTTGAAAAATTTGAAATCCAAAGACCCCAATTATGATACCACATATGGCGTTCGCATTGATCCTACTATGGAAGGCACGATGATGGGTAACATTAAAATTCGTTTCCCACCCAGGGAAATTGAATTATGGCGTAGTAATAATAAGAAGAGTGTGACGTTCCCAGCTACGTATGAATTGTATAATCTCGTATTCATGAAACATGTACCGAGATCTATCGATGATCGAGACATGCAGTTATATGCTGATTTACTACAAACTACAAGGGCGCCGTATAAGGGTTACGATATACGTGAAGGCTTGAATGCTAGTACGAAATCAAAGAAATATCTACAAATAATCAAACCAATAATTGGTACACCACCCAACATGAGGAGTCAGCAGCGTAAAGTGAAAGGTGGTGGTGGGGGAATGAAGCAATCAGAACCGATTAAAAAGATTGTTACTAATCATCTGAAAGAGTTCGTATATTGGAATGAGACTGCAGAATTAGTGGACCGCCTTCGACTATTATATGAGTCAAAAATGGCCGGTCATACTGGGCACGATAATGAAATAGTCCCAATCATTGAGGAATTACGTGAAGAAGGTATTGTGTATTGATATCACATATTACCACAAACTATAACATTGAAATCATATCAGCTAGACCATTAGTATATCAATGTAAACCAAGGA